ATGGCATTTCAGTTCGATGATGTTCCCATTTAAATACATCTAAATACCTCGTTTAATAGGGATTTTCTCAGCCAGCCATGTTTGATTCCCGGATGGTATCCGCAAGGAGAAAAAAGACGCCGAAGCACTTCTCCTCCGCTTCAACGAAAGCGATGCGCTCATCCTCCTGGTAGCCATAAGAAAGGTACAATGGTGGTCCCCTACCATCTTTAAAGGATTAGAACTAGGATTGCAAATAGGACCACGTATATGCTATGCCATAAAATATGAATGCTCTATATATAGCGATTACAAATATCATGTTTGTAAATGACTGCAAATGGGTCCCCGATTCATCCCACTCAACTCCAGGAAACAGGACCACTTACAGCCCCATCAGATACGCATCTGGTGGGCGTCGCCATTAAATGCGCCACAGCGGCCGAGATCGAATGTTCCGCTGCGCTGGTGGTGGCAAGAACGATCCAGTCGCTTACCTGGTTCCGCGCCACGAAAATCAGGGGCTGGTGGGTTTTGAAAACCAGGGGTGCCCAGGGAAGGACCCTCAAAGGGAAGAGTTTTTGGCTGGTTTTTGGGACCATCCAGTTTGACGTTTTGGGACGTTGATATGTAAAGACTTCCTGGGAAATCAAGTCATGCAGGTCCTGGAAAAGGAACTTTATACCTGTGTGAATTTCACATCACACAATAGGCATTCGATGTTGCCGGGCTTTGTGCACTGGCAAAAGTCTCCCCCAGCACAAAGATCCACTAGAACACCGAGAGGATATCCCAGAACGAGGGAGGTTACCTCAAAAATCTGAAACCCTTAAATCCAAGGTCCATAACATTATCATCATTATCATCAGCATGATCATCAGCAGCAGCATCATCACCATCATCGTCCTCATCATCATGATCATCATCATCATCACCACCATCATCATCATCTCACCACCACCACCACCATCATCATCATCATCATCACCATGATCATCATCATCACCATCAGCAGCAGCCGCAGCAGCATCACCACCACCACCACCACCATCATCATCGTCGTCCTCATTATCATCATCATCATCATGATCATTATCATCATCATCATCATCATCATCATCGTCATCATCATCATCATGATGTTTTCCCTGTTAACATGGAGAGGGGGAATACTGTATTGTACGTTCATAGCATGTGCTTTAAGAGCGAAAATGTGTCGTATCATGTTCACTATTGTCATTGTGACTGTGACTTGTGTTTTGGCTCTTACTCTCATGACTACTCGATGTTATAACTATCATTATCGACTAGTACTATAGCGGTTACTACTATCACTATCGTTCCTATCATTGCTTTCATCATAGTTAGTATCATTACTATCACTATTACGATCATGACTAGTTATCATTCAATGCAATATGTAAATAAATATATATAGATACATAGTATATACAAAATATATACGTAGTATATATATATATAATTATATATACACACCCATTTTAGGCATATCGGTATGCAAGAGAACTTGACTCCACCGCGCAAGGGCCTCACCCTGAGCACCAGCCAGCTGGGACACACTCTCCTGGCCATAGCCATCGGTTACGTTTGGGGCTGGAAGGCCCCCAGTTGGGATAGAAAAATATGAAAATAAGCTTCGGGGGCATCCCCAGCAGCCGCAACGCTTTATTTTTACCAATCTTTCTGAAGCGTCTGCCAAGCCAAGCGCTGGGCACACCTCAGCTGGGGTTCCGTGAGTCAAATGGCCGCAAATCCTGTTGAACCTGACCCGGCTCTGCACCGAAGCCTCCCAGACCTTCTCCGGAACCTTCTCCGGAACCCTGTTGACTCTGCACCGAAGCCTTCCAGACCTTCTCCGGAACCTTCTTCGGAACCCTGTTGAACCTGACCTGGCTTTGCACCAAATAGCCTCCCAGACCTTCTCCGGAACCCTCTCCGGAACCCTGTTGAACCTGGCCTGGCTCTGCACCGAAGCCTCCCAGACCTTCTCCGGGACCTTCTCCGGAACCCTGTTGAACCCGACCTGGCTCAACACCAAAGCCTCCCAGACCTTCTCCGGAACCTCTCCGGAACCTTCTCCGGAACCCTGTTGAACGTGACCTGGCTCTGCACCAAAGCCTCCCAGACCTTCTCCGGAACCTCGTTGAACCTGACTGACCCCATTAGCTTACGCTGTTGGGGAAAAACATTTGTAAATCATGGCAAATCTAACTTTCAACCATTAGTTATGCTAGTTATAGCAACACCACAAAAAAAAATCAACCCTAGTCGGGGGGCTGTTAGATTAACAAAAGTCGGGTGGTAGATACCATCGTTGTAATTACTGAAGGCACCACTATGATCTTAAATTTAGGGCTACTATAGAGTTGTAACAGCAGCACGAAAGGACGGCGGCCAGTGCTTTTGGCGGCTCCTGCAATTTTTCAAGAGCACGACAGGCGCGCTGGAATTCGGTGGCCATGGGTCAAGCATGCTAGGAACTCAGGGCAAAGCTAAAGGTCAATTCATAACAATGCTTAGCATTGCATTAGCAGTAAGATTGAGATCCATGGTTAGATGCATCGTAGCGAAACGAAAATCACAATGGGAGACAAACAGGGCAATATTCCAGCAGTTTTAGAGTTGGCTGATTTCACTTCAGACTTTTGCTCCACCTACTTGGCAGATTTGGCAGCTGGCGAAGCCTCTTTATTTTGCTTGCGACAGCGGACGAGGTGTGTTGAATGAGATTCTCCAATGGCAAGAGCAGATCAAAGTGCCAAAGTTCAGCTCTGCTGACGGCAGAAGTTGTTTTTCCCTCGCTGGCGTCCGGTTAGGTCCTGAAACTTTGTCAGGTAGTCCAGCTTCGCAACTGCAGATTCCGTTGAAGTCACTCAATTTGACTCTTCGATTCTCGGCAGTCAGGCAACCTGTCATACAGTGATTACCCACACCTGAGCCAACTCACCAGTCGTTGTACTGCCTGAAAAGCCCTTGGAACTTCCTGGGCGCCTGAACAGGTTGGAGGTCCAGAGTCGGCGTTGGTGTCCGAGACGATCATGGCACCTCAGAGAAATCCCATCTCCAGGAGAGAATGGACATGGAAATTTCATGGCGGATTTGACACAAAAAGTTGCGGTTAAAATCGATTTACATTGATTTCTATGGATTTAGCATGACATACCCTCTGGTATTTCGTTACATGGCTATGGTATAGATTGCCCATTTAGTTCGATCTTGTTATTGAAACATTGTGTTTTGCCATGGCAAACTGTTACGTTACAACACGGTAATTGGGTTTACTTAAGATTCAATGGAGTTAAGAGTGGAGATAAATTGATATGATTGGGATACTTCTGAAGCTTATACTGAGGATAATGATGTAATGGAGATACATTGGGGATAGCAGATGTACAAAGTTTGAAAACATACCTTCTGGTGGTTTAACAAAAAATTATGTAAAATGACCTGTTGAATAAATGATATGTACCTGTTAATTATATACATCCCCGTAGGCCCCAAGCAGTTTTTCCATATCCATAGCGTCTGCAATCTTTTTTGTGGGTATACTAGCTCCTGGTGTTGGCATTTCTAGTCATCTAGTCCATCTCAATTGAGAACAGCATGAATCACAAGCAACATGTTTTTCATGTTATTGCCATCTGGGGTCTATGCTGGTGTAGCTCCTGAGACAACAAGAAGACACAGAAGGAGGAAAGAACAGAGATAAGGACCAATCACTAATGAAATCGCGATGAAACAAGAACAGGACAGCGCCACTAGGGGAGACATATGAATGGGGAGGAAGACACGCACAAAGGCGAACAGGCGAAAGAATCAGACGCCACCACTAAGGCAGACTGATGATTGAAGACAAATGAGTTGGGAGACAGATGAATCAGGAGACAGATGGTAAGAGACAAACGATGGGAGCCAAGTGAAAGCAAAGAGAAGACATCCGGACAGCCGGACACCACTTGCCAGGGTGGGAAACACATGAAGGAAGACACGTAAAGAGAGACACCTGGAGAGCCAAACAACACTAGCAAGAATGGGAGACACCACTGGCCAGACTGGGAGACAAATAAAAAGAGACCGGTGAAGAGAGGCATCCGGAGAGCCGGAAACCATTAGCCAGAGCGGGAGACACATGAAGAGAAACCAGGAAACAAGCACCGTAACAAGAGAAATCTAGAGTCGGTCACCAGGAGGCGGAGACAAGTAAAGAAAGACATCCGGAGAGCCGGACACCACCAGATGGGAGACAAATGAATTGCAGACATCCGGAGAGCCGGACACCACCACCTGGACAGAGCCAGACACCTATTTAAGAGAGAATTCAGAACCCCAACTGTAAACTGTTTGGGGAAAAATGGTGACTTTCCATCGCAAATTGTTAAGTAAATTGCCAAAGAGTACAAGTTGCGGATTACGTTTCCGTCTCTCGTGGAACCTAGAGATACTTGCTGTGACTTGACATAGCAGCACACCTTGTTGGTGAACCTCATCTCCAGACATAGCTTAGCTGGCCTGGCAACGAGTAAACTCAGTAAGGAAGCTCCAGAAAGCTACAATGCACTGAGATTATCACTGTAAAATTCTGCAGTGCAGCGGGAAGCCGTGACTTAAATTCTGTAAATATCCATTCACCATCATTCACCATCCATTATGGCCAAACTCTGCTTGTGTTATGCATCACTCATCCCATTTCTATTGGCCAAATCTTGCGCCAAATCCACCAAGTCATTGCATCTGCAGGTGGACTTCCTACGGCCTGCCTTGGTCTTGGCTTCTTTCTGTAGCTCTCTGATTGGCAAGTACTGCAGCAAAACACGGGCCGGAGAGTCGGAGAGGGTCACAACGTATCACATTTTTTTTGCCACGAACATACGATCGCCAAGAGTTCCATGCAACTCCATGGAACCCACAACTCTCCAACAGCAATCCTACCAAGTGGAAATGAGGTTGTGAATGCCTTGAGGTAGGGGGACGTCGTTCAGTGTATACATGCCACAACTACAAACCTGCTCCCCGGGTCTTGCAAGTCCCGCGGCGTACCACCGTCAATGCCAGCAAGCCCCCAAAGAATGCCACATACGCTGCACCTAGGCAGGACTGCAATGGGATTTGGGCTCGTCTCAAGCCATGGTGTCGCTCCAAAGTCGAAGAACCCCAGCAAGAGACTATACATCTTTATGGCTAGATGTTGAATCCAATCGCCTGTAAATATGAAAACCGTGAAAGATCCAATTTGGGGTGGACCAAAAATGAGTTCTGCCCATCTCCAGCTTGTTGGGAGCTCACCACAAAGAAAGTTGTAGGTGCTCTCATCCATGGCTCAACTACTCCGGCACGCTGGTTCTAGATCTGTCGCTGGGGGTTGCGTGTGCTGCAGACTTCACAAGTTTCAGTTGATTCAGCAAATCTGCGGCCCCCATGTCTTTCCTTTGAAGGCCAAAAGGCTACAAGCTCCGCAAGTCAATTCCAACCGGTTTCCAGCCACTTACAGTCAGTGACGCAAATTAAAGTCCAGACACCTGCACCAATCCTCCTGTTGTGATTCTCTGGCCACGGCCGTTTCTCTTGCTCCAAACCAGCGGGCTCAAACGGGGCTGCCGAAGCTCTAGAAGCGGCTGCTCGCATTAGGTGAAACCTGTTGTGCAACCTGTTGTGTCGATGGTTGACACTGGCAGGCTTGTTGGTGAGCCTGCCAACGGAGGTCAACGGGTCGCAGAGAACGCCGACTTCGGAAGCTTCTTATTCAGAAACTGCGGCGCGTGTCTGCCGTCCTTCGGTCGCCTCGGTCGAGCTTCACGGTTGGTGCCTCCATCCTATGCCCTCTTGTGTTCTTTGAAAATGGAAACATACTCCCTGCATTAGCAACAAGAAACAGGGTGAAGACAAGACCCCCAGCAACTTTAGAGTCCTAAAATGAAATGTATACCTGGTCGGTGGATCGTCCCATTGGGATGGAGAAAAATGGACTGAGGTCAAGACTCCGTGAGGTCCATGGGAAAATCACCTGCCGCCCATATGTTTGGTTAGTCCATTGGTACAGAACCCCCGAGCCAGCCATTCTGAGCCGCAAACCACTGGTATTTCTGCCTCGGCAAAAATCAGATGGCTCTTCAAGGTAAGAGCTCCCACAACGCGGGCAAACCACATTTGGATAGCAATTCTAATGAAATGGATATGATACATATACTGTGCTTTTTGCAGCGAAGCATGTTCTAGGTCAACGAGGTCTTGAGTCGCACTTGACCGCAGTGAGTAACATCGAGTCGCTTCAACAGCGCACCTTGTAGAAGCAGCCATGGCTGGACTTTCAACTTCTTTGGCTTAGAGTGGGCCTCAGCAAGAACTGGAAATGACGTGCTGTCAGGAGGAACGCAAATAAACTGAGAGGACAATTTGAAGAAAAATCATGTCCAAAAAAATGCCGAAAATATTCGCCTGTGAGTATTACTCACTGTACTCAAGTGGCTGTTGGGAGCCCGGCTGGTGTCAGTTTTACCTTAGCCGAGGGATCCGTCCAAAAAGAGGAGAACCCAAGCATTTCTTGCCTATTTTGGTATGAACCATCGACAAGAAAGCATGATTTCGGGCCAAGTGTATCCAAACATGGGAGTCAAAAATCAGCCAAATATCTCAAAGTTATTCCAAATATCGGAATTTCCTGAAACAGATCCCAGTGTAGCTGGTTCGCCCAGACCGCCGCGTTGGATCTCTTTTCGCGACGACCGGTGCAGCCACTTTCAACTTGCATTCCTAGTTGAGCACATCAACTGGACATGCAACTTTCGGGCAACCAGTTGACGAGCGTGGCCAAGTGCCACTTCCAACTCAAATCAATTTCACATAATTTACTCAAAATCGTGAAGAATGATCAAATTAATATCAAATTCATCCAATTTCATCCAAATTCACTCTAACCACCTTCAAGATCCTTCATGTACTTTGGCCATCTGGTCTGCCCGTCTGCTAAATTTCCTAAACAAACTCTGAGCCTTGGGATTCCAGGGAGGCAATGCGCTTGAAGAGCACTTGGCGGACCAAGTCGGCATCCACAGCCATGCCGAAGTGCACCTGCGACTGGATGGCATGACATCATGGTGGTTGTGATTCAAATGAAAAAAAACGGAAAATGGTTGCGGATGATGCTTGGATCCCGTGGGTGTCGTAAAATACACTCAGCTTCATAGCGTGTCCATTCTGTATGGATCAAAACTAGGCACCTCAAAATTCGATGGTTTGTTCCTTTCAAAAGTCACGCCACCTGTGGTTGTCTCAAAAATTCAAGCTCCATCCCAACCCAGCTGATATAAATCACCTCATGTTTTCCACATGTGAGAACGGCTACGTGAATAGTTAAAGCATGTTAAATCCTCAATTTCCATAAATTTCCACCAACACTGGGGCTCCGATTTAACATGATGGCAATGATGGCCATGGGCCATGATCTCATGGCAATTTCCATGGCAATTTCGCCGGCACGACAGGACGCCCCAATCCCATCGCTGTCCCGCCGTGGCATTCTGCGGCGGCGGGGGGCTGAGAGGCCCACCACGGCGGTCTGCCAAAACCAGGCCGCGGGTGGCCTACGAGGTGAGGAGTGGTTGGGAAATCCCCATCAAAATCACCAGAAATGGAGGTTTATAGCTGGAAAAATCATCTAAAAAGGGTGGATTTGTCGATTGCCAGGTTTGATTCCCAGAGGCTTTGCACAAATTAGGAATTAAGGATCGCACAACAAAGATGGTGATCGAAATTGACCAAGAATTGGATTCAACTGTTTAACCAACGAAAAGTTGCGATTTAGGCAACACGAAGGCGGACATAACCACAGCCATGGTGGAACTGCCGACAAGATTTGAGATGATAATCACCAACAAGCACTGTTGCCTTAGTTGAAGGACATCTTGTTTGGAAAAAAATTGCCTTGGGGCTTCTGGCAAAGGTTCCGTTCATCCATGTTTGGGAAACAACTGATAAATTGGGACCCATCAGGTATCAGGTATCGTAAGGGTCCTTCTATCCGATCACTTGTGCAGTCTCTCAAAATCGTTGTATGTACATGTACACCCCTAAATTCAACATGGAATCCAACAAGGCCCCATCGTTCCACGTTAAAATTTGGGGTTGTTGCTTTGGCAAGGCTCACTCGGATAGAGCGTGGTGTCAACCATAACAGGCCAGCGTTTCAGCGCGTAGCTCCTTGGATGTGCCCAGATGCCGTTGGGTGTTTAGGCAAACCAAACTGAGAATTGCCGAACAGAAACAGCTACAGCCGCCGACGAATGACCTAATTCGTTGATGCTGGGTTGGTTTGCCTGTCTTTCTTGCCCGCCCAATGGTCCAAAGGGATCAAAGGGTTCTGCAAAGCATCCCCTTTCCTCTGATTCTCTTCATAAGCTAAGGATCTCTGCATGCAAGAACATCATGACGGCACTTGGATCGTGCAACGGCATGCCACCGTCAAAACCAATGCTTCGATGGGCATGCTCGTAAAAGCGAGTGATGTTCCAAATGAAAGAGCCTCAGCAGCCCATCAGCTGGTGGTCCCGGTCTTGGGTTTCATCATGAAGTTAAATTGCCACCTGCACTCTGCACAATACCAACCTTTGCCGAGACAGCGGAGTTTCTTATCACAAAAAACACATTTGCAAGCCCGGACATTGCGGCCCGCGACCTGCGGTTCGCAAGCTTCGAAGCGACTCCAAGAAACTATGCGAGAGCCTTAAAGGATGAAAATAGTGACTGGGAATGCGGTGCAAACTCCGGAATCTGCAGATGTCCATCCCAACACCACTATATAGCAGAGCCCAAAAAAAACACAAACGTGTTTTTAAGGTGGTATGGATGAAATCTATTTTGGGATTGCTATGAAGGCTATACGCCAACCATCATGGCTATCACAATATTTAGAGCGATCGAGAGGTCTAACTACTTCCAGCTAGATATGATCTGCACGTATATCAGCACAAGGGAAAAAAATGTTGGCAACTTTGAGGCCCCGGCCACGTCGCCATGGTCACATCCAAACCAGCAACGTGTGCTTTGAAGCCCGCAGCAAAGACCCGCGCTGCTGCTTCGGGGTCGTTGGCTATGTTGGCCTTGCCGGAGGCTTGGAGGGGAAGAGATCCCAATGGTGATGAAACATGGATGGGACACCATGAGTTTGAATGGCAAAAATATGATAAACAGATATAAACAGTTTCGTTCTCCAACGGACAAGGAGTTTCCAATGTTTTTTTTGTGCCTTGTTGTTTGGGGTGGCACAAAACCCCTTTTCTCTGCCAGAACACAATGATTTGGCCGGTCGATTGCTATCTTCGTGTGAAACTGTTTGCGCGGTCGTGCACTCAGGGTTTTCTTTGGATTTTTTAAGCGCAATTGTCTTTGGAGTGGTTTTCTTCTTTGGGGTTGCCTTCTCGTCCTTCTCTTTTTTCTCTTCGATTTTCCTTCTCTTCTTTGTGGTTTCCTTCTCTTTCTTGGGTTCTTGCTTGATCTCTTGGACGCTCTGAACGGTAGAAGGCGTCGTTGGCTTGGCGATTCAAGCGACTTGCCAGCAGGGACCAAAACAGATTTTCTCATCCGCTCAGGGGGAAAAAAACACTTGTTTGCAAAAGGCTCTTGGACTGTTTTTGCCGATGCCTTTTTTTAATCACTTTGCCGACTTCCCTCATTAATGCTTTAGCAGCTACTTCTGCATTAGAAACAGCTTCCATTGAGCCAGGCTGTGAAGTTTGCACATCGACCGGTTTCTTCTACACAGCTTTGCTCATCATCTGCATCTCGGCCGGTTTCTTCTGCACGGCATTGCTCACCTTCAGATTCCACCACGACCATGCTGTCAGCCCTGATGACGTCCACCTCGGGCACAGTCATCCCACTCTTTGAGAAGATTCGTTTCCAGCTTGCACCTGAAAGGACATCTGCACGGTGCTCCAGCACGTAGGGCTCAAAGGAGTTGCGCTGTATCTTGGCTACTGCCTGTTTGAGAGCTTGTTTTTTGCCAACTCCAGCGGGCTCATTCAGTCCCTCGTTGTTGTCACAACCGCAGATTGAACTTGCCACGCAAGCTTTCTGCCACACTGACAGACTGAACGCTTGCCAATGGTCAGCTCTGCAGCAAAACATCTGCCAGATGCTGTTTGCCACCTCACGCACGCAGGTAGCCACTCAATTTCTTGTGCGTCTCAAGGTGGTCTTTTGCCTTCACGCCTGTCAAGAATCCGACATTGCGGGCACTGGACACAATCCATCAAGTCTTCCCTGACGCAGAATTAAGCACATCAGAAAAGTACTCGTCTTTTGGCTGGCTGCCTCTCGCAGTTTGACCTGAAAAGCTTGTTCTACGTTCAGGTCTGAAGTCTTCAACTCCCACAAGCATCCTGCATAGAACCAGGGCGGTAGCCTTGCCTCTTGTCTGGTTCGACTTCTAACAGCTCAGACCATCCCGGTCGCGGCAACACAAGCAGGTCACCACAGAGAGTAAGCTTTATGTAGCAGCCAGCATGTCCAGAAAACTCTTTTAAGGGCTTCAAAGTTCTGGCATGCCAGGCTGCTTACCATCGTGATATCAAAAGTCTCTCTGCAAGGCAGACACACGAGCTCTACCGGTGTAGGCCGACATCCAGGTCTGTGTCAATGGGGGAAGTAACCCCTAGAGCATTGATTGCTCAGCTTGATTGCTAGCAATATTCTTGAGCAGATTGGAAGAAGCCTCACAAGCTTCTTCTGGCATCAGCACAGGTTTGGGACATCCAACTTGTGTCAGCCATCGTTGCGACAACCAAGCCCACTCTACAGGAAATGTCGGCTTCTTGGATTTTTCATCATCCTCTGGTCTCTTTTTAGCAGCACCGATTTGACCAGCAGCAGAGCTACTCATTCTCACTGGATTGCACAGCAATCCAGGGGCTGCCTTTCTTAGCCACGTACTTCCCCACCTGCCAGGTGAGGGTTGTTAGATTTTATGTCAGTTGCCTCCTCCTGCCTCGTCCTCCTCCTCCTCCTCCTCTCCTCCTCTCCTCCTCCTCCTCCTCCTCGTCGTCCTCCTCGTCCTCCTCGTCCAACTGCGACCCTCGATCCACAGTGTTCTCTGTCGGACCTCAACCACGACCATCCATGCTCAGTGTTCCCTGCCGGACCTCAACCACGACCATCCACGCCCAGTGTGCCCTGCCGGACCTCAACCACGACCATCCACGCCCAGTGTTCCCTGCCGGACCTCAACCGCGAGTATCCCCGCCCAGTGTTCCCTGCCGGACCTCAACCGCGACCATCCACGCCCAGTGTTCCTGCCGGACCTCAACCGCGAGTATCCACGCCAAAAGATATGCCACATAGAGTGCCAGAAGATATGCCAGATAGAATGTTAGAAGATATGCCAGATAGAATGCCAGAAGGTATGCCAGATAGAATGCCAGATAGAATGTCAGCTAGAATGCCAGAAGATATGCCCGATAAAGTGCCAGAATGTTTGCCAGATAGAATGCCAGCAGATTTGCCAGATAATATGCCAGAAGATATGCTAGATAGAATGCCAGATGGAATGCCAGAAGATTTGCCAGATAATATGCCAGAAGATATGCCAGATAGAATGCGAGATGGAATGCCAGAAGGTTTGCCAGAACATATGCCAGAAGATATGCCAGAAGATATGCCAGAACATCTGCCAGAAGATATGCCAGAACATCTGCCAGAAGATATGCCAATGCCAGAAGATATGCCAGATAGAATGCCAGATCGAATGCCAGAAAATATGTCAGATAGAATGCCAGAAGATTTGCCAGTAACAAAATGTATAAATGTCATGGTGGGGATCACACGAAGTAAAGTATTTTTTTTCCAGGATTTTTTAGCCACTCTGTGTCACTGGCACTCGCACAAGCGCCTTTACAGGTAAGAAATTGAGCTGGAGTTTCGGCATCGAAGTGAGATCTACACATCTAGGTGTTGTTGATGTTTTTCCATGTTTTTCCATCCATCAACCAATAGCCCCCCCCATTTTTGTGGCCAAAATGAACACATTCCCTGGATTTCCCTGGTGGCCAAAGCGATTCCACCTGAGTTTCAACCCAGTCCAACCTCGGAGAGCAAAGCCACGTTTCCAGGTGCCAGAACAGTGCCACCCATCAAGAAAAGATCCTTCGCAGAACGGGAGCAATCCGGTCATCTTTTCTTGACAGGGCCACAGACTCCACAGACCAGAAATCTAGAATGGACTCAACTTCAATTGGCTGTTTTTGTCAATTTGTGATGCATCAAAGAGTCAATGGAAGGTTCATAACCTTCAACTCATCCTGCGGACAAGTCTCTGGGCAAAGTTGCGGCAAACGCGGCTCCAGAGACAGCGCCAAGGCAATGTTTGTCAGCGGCGCAAGAGAAATCAACACAGGTTGGGACAAGCGCCTGCCTGGGATTCTGATTCTGGTCATGTGGCTATGAATCAATTCATTCTAGGATTTCCTCCGTTTCCTGCTCACAACATTTTTTCGGCTGGTACAAGCTGCACTTCGATGGTGCACCCCAAAAAATCTCTGGAAAAAATCTGGAAACATCCGTTATGTTTTGACCATCTGGAGATCAAGACACAAGCATCTACAATGACCTCAGCTGCATGAAGAGATCGATTCACCTGAGCCATTGGTGCAGGTCGCGGCGCGCCTGGCGTCAGCAGGAAAGCCTGAAAACTGCATCTGAAATGTGGTGCTTCTCAATGGCGCGCCTGAAAATTTGGAACCCGAAAGCTATCTCACGGTTCAAGACTGAATCATATTGAATACGACTGTGATTCCTATGTTGATCATATTTGTTATATTATCAAACACTACATATCATACATATATATATAATTTCTATATAATATATGACTTGCGCTTATTTACATAGAATCAACGGTCGTTTTAATTTTTTTCGGCCCGGGCCCCGGCCTCCGAGGCCATCCAGCCCGTGGAAACGGGGGCCACCAAGGTCATGGTATGGCTGAGATAGCGGCTCCCTTGGCCAAAAAAAAACACCCAGCTGACGAAGATGAGATAAACATGTATAAACACAAAAAAATAACATGATAAGATAGATGATATTAAGCCATATAAAAATTGAAATGATATTGGAGAGCAAAAAATGTTTGAAGTATCTCAAACATTCTCAAATCTCAAACAGAAAACCAGTGGAGAATCACAGCTCTTCGTCGCAGAGTGGCTCAGCCCCGATGTACACAGGTATGTCGCTGCGGTTCGCCAGTGCCAGCACACTCAGAGCATTCTCAGCCTGAAGCGAAGATGGCGGCCATTGGATGTTGAATGATGTTGACCCATCACCAGATGCAAACAAACCTGAGTTTTTCTTGGGAAAAGTGATTTCCAGTTTGCGTTCCACCGTTCCACCTTGGAGAAAGCCATAAATCCCAGGGGAGTGCCCAAAAGCCCCTGGCCCTATTCCCTTCTACTGGTTGATTCAAACGGGATGATAGTAATCAAGCTTAAACCAATTAGATCCAGTTCGTAAGAAAACAATAGAACCACCAGCCGCAAGGTATTTCGATGTATCTTGGGCATTCCTCAAATGTTCCCAGCAGGTTTTGTATTCTCCAAGAAACCATCTGCGAAGTATTGTGCAGTGAGCCGAAGTTGATACCTTCCGCTGGCACCCTCTGGAAAAATAATGGAAACCCATATCCTTCTGCTTTTAAAACGAAATCCTTCACCAGGATTTGAGCATCTACATACCCTCATGAATCCCCACACAGGTGGGCATATACAATGACATAAAAATATGACAACACATAATTCATGTAATGAGTACACTTAACAATATACGTCATGATATATATATATATATACATATTTAAATATTTATATATATACATATTTATTTATTTTTTTATTTATTTATTTTCAATCATATGGGTGTGTCTGGAAATGTGGTAAACCACCCAATCTATATCATGTTTAATGGGGAAAAGGATGATGAACCAGTTGATTCAGATGTGTTCCCCTAAAATGCCAGATCCATATGGAATGGTATGGATCAGCATGGGTGTGCCAAACAGAATAGGGATATATAATATATTGTGTAATTACAGTTATATAGATAATTTAGATACTCAAGTATATTCGAATTTGATATAATCATTAACATTCACATGGTCATCCATCCCGTAACGGGACTCCTTGTGTTGAGTATCTATGGGTATGTTAAATATACATCCTCGAGACGATGAAATCCTCAACAGGGGTTTAAATCCTCCATAAATCCTCCATAAATCCTCCATAAATCCTCCATTCGTGGTTTTTACACATTATGGTATAACCATGTATACCTATGGTATATATATAATATATATATATATAAGCATTATAACAATCCTCGAGAAACTAGCCCAATCGCAGGTCCAGCTTCAAATCGCTCGCACATCCAGCTCGGGGGAGGCCAGCACCAAAAGCAGGGCGATGGAATCGTCGATGCCTGGAAATTCTGCGCACAAAAAATTGGAAATTCTCGGAAAATGATGGGACATGTTTTTGGAAAATGATGAGAAGGGATGGAAAAATCGATTGGTTTTAATAGATATTTTTTTACCAAAGAACTATTTCCATGTCCTCTACAAAACGTGACCTTTTCAGAGTGGGTTACCACTGGTTACCACTATCGAACCATCGAAGCATGATGTTTAGTTTAGCCCCCTGAAATTTGGATGTAGACTGCGCCTGGATCGGTGCTGATTACAGCTGGTCGCGCACCAGCCGCGGCTGCAAACACAGCCGCAGTAGCAACAGCGAATCGAACAGCTGTCATGGCGATGGGGCAAAGCCTCTAAGCTGCAATTGCTCTTCTGAGTTTCATAGTTTCGTGGCTGTAAAATATTTGATCTAGATATTGTAGATTGCGTCCAGAGACATTCATGGTCTCCGTTTCTATGCTGGGATACTGGGTGGACTTGGACTGGGTGTTGTCAGCATGGCTTTCATATTCAAATATGTATATTATTGGTAGACCAGGTCTCAGTCTATACAAACACTTGCTGTTGCAAATGCAACTGGACACTCCTTTCCATTCGCGTGCTGACTACGAACTGCACCAAGTAATGCTGTCTCTCTGCATTCTCTGAATTCACACGCAGCAATGAAAGCAGAACGCAGAACACAATAGCTGGTCAACCGTTTTCTGGTACAACCCGCTGCCCATCAAGACCCACTAAACCCAGCATTTAATCCATTAAAACCCATAAACCCAGCCCTTGCCGAGTCACAGTCACCAGGCCACCCTCGCTGGGAGCGTCGATGCAAAGCACCGTGCCACTGGCCTGGAAGAGAGATGTTTCACACACCTCTTACTTACAGGAATAGGCATAAATAGAGATTCATCATAGTAGGAGGCCTTCTTACCAGCATTGAAATATCAATCCTACTACTGGTTAAAAGGGACTTATGATGGGAAGTAGCCGGCAAAAATGGTGAGAGGAAATTTAATGGGAGACCAATCAAAATTGGGATAGCTTCTGGCAATTTGTTGCAGTTTGCAAACTCGAGGATCACTATGAAAAGCGTAGGTAAATTCCAGGTAAATCATCGAACTAAATGTGAGCCATTTATGTAGCAAACTGTTAAATCACCAAAGGATATGGGAAATTGCGAGAAACCCACCAGGATGTTTTTTTGCATCCAGTGAAACTCAAAAGGTTGGAGGCTAGGGAGATAGTGATGTGTTGTTTTCACTGCATTGGCTGATGGAGTTCTCAGATCACTAAGGTTCCAGGCTCCAGTAAGTCCAGGATGGCTCCTGCTTAAGCTCATTCGTACACCTCGGGTCGCGAAGCTCAACCCTGCGAAAACGAGAAACATGTCATAGCTGCCCATTTTTCAAGTTGGGTCTGCCAAAAACACTGAGCCCCAAAGTTTCATGAATTTCATGGCTTATCCCTGTAACAAAAATGGAGTTCCGGAATGGCTAGGTTCCCCAGGCCATCTCCAGGCTTCAGTCGGCTCTCATGATGGGAGAGCTGGGGGTCCATCCAGGCCGAGTGGTCCACCTGACATGGCAGCATTGATTCATTCAGAGTTTAAGGATTTTCATATTTCCCATAGCATAAATGACATTAATATACACTAATGCATATTAATGCCCTAAACCCTATAATGGTTCATAAATGGAGTGCTGTTCGAGTTCACAACTATTCTCACGGTGCCTGCTTTCTCCACCTGGAAGCAAGTCCTCTCTCCTAAGAAGCGTTTCTAGAACTGCTTCTGGTGTGGTGCAGTGGTCATTTCAAGGAGTAGCTGAGGTAAACTATAGTAACTAACATACCAGACCGTAGATCTGGAAAATTGATGCTTCCCCCGAGAGTGACTGCGAAAATGGTGAGTGTTCATGAGTGTTCCATATCCATGGAGTCCTTCTCCAAAAGCCGCTGGAAAATTCTCAAGGAATCCACATCTTCCCGCATGGGCAGCGCCTCGCGAAAAAGTTGGCTTTGTCTCAAGCCATTGGGGGGGGTGAAAGTGGGGGAAAATGTCAGTGAAGCACTGTTGGATTCATGCACTAGAAAAGGCTCACACCGCATAGTCATAGTCAGTAAACTTGGCGCATCACCATGTCCAAAGCGTTGTGCTTCACATGCCCAGGCAGACTGTGCTTTGAGCCCACAAACGGTTGATGTTTCACAGAAACATGCGCGGCCTTACTGCACCAACGCTGCTGAGCAATCACAACAGCTCAACAAATTGACACTTGAGAGCGCGAAAAGCTATCCCTGTTGACAACGCATCTTCCTGAAGCACTGCACCATTCTTTCTTCACTGGCCCGCTGGGCAAAGGCGCATTGCTTGGCAATTTCAATCCTTTGCCCAAGTGCCAATTGCCAAAGTCAAGGTCCAGTCCCTCAAGTAGCGTTGACAATCGAGAAATGTTATGGAAAACACATGTCACATGGCTGAACCCGTAAAGATCTTGATCTAAAACCTGCCACAATATCATGCCAGCCCATATGGGAAGAAAAACCATGATGTGATTTGAAGCTTTTGCTACGAGAACCTTCTATTTCACAGGCTTTGCTGCTGAAATTTCAAGGCTCAAGGGACAGATAGGGACAATGTTTACAAAGCATACACAGTCTAAACTGAGTATTGACATAAATAATGCACTGGGGCATCAATTTAAGCCAAAGAATGTCGTCACAAGCTCTTTGGTTTCACATTGCATGTACATTGAAACATCAACGGCTTCGAAACAACCATCCTCTTCCAGTCTGTCCTTCCTGCAGGGCCGCTCGCTTCTGGCAATTTTCATGGAGAAAATATGGGAAAATATGATGATTATGATGATACAACAATGAGATCAACGGGGCTTCAGGGAGACAGCTTGAGATGTACGTCTTTCTTGAGGACAAATGACAAATCACGATTCGCAAACAATTGCAGTGCGTGAAAGATTTAGCCTGCAAGAAGACCATCCTGCAGCCATGGCTTCAAGGATTAAGCAAACAAATGCAAATGTAGATTCTATAGATCATGTCTGCGGAAGATGATCAGCTCAAAGTCAATGATGCAAGTCGATTCTGCAGTGGAGACAGCTTGAGTTTGCAGCTGCAGATTCTGCAGATATTGTGCTGGCATTCCGGTTTGTGAGTCAACTTGAGAAGCTGGTGGCGCTGTATCTCCGAGTGCTTTTATGCATTTCTCGTCGTTTCTCCACAAGCCGCAGCTCTTTTTATCCGCTCTTGGCAGCACCTGTGCAGGCAAATATTCAACTGCAATACCCCCGAGTCATGCAGCACAGCAGCTGGAGCACCCAGCATTTTTCTCCGTCGACGATCTCAGGGTCTCAGTACGTGCAAAACTCCCACGGTATGGACATATCTACGCTATTCCACTTTTCTGGTTTTGCAAGTTGGACCTGGCACTCCATGTTACACTTTGCCACCTGCTGGGGACGACTACTTTTTGAGATGAATCTGAAGACCCTGGAGCTTTTTTGTCTGTTCGATATTTGACTGTTGACATTGTTTGATCATGTTTGGTCTGTGTAATTTGAAGTGCACTGTAGTCTTCGAGTATTCCTCGCATGCACTGTCTCGCTCTCCAGGGTTTGAATGGCCAATAAATTGGCATACAGCCTGAAGGTGAAAAAGCATGCCAAGGAAATGAAGTACATGGTACAGCCCAAGCCCATGATTTTCACGTATTATGTTTATATACGTCACTGGGACAGTGTATGACGGTCAGAGTGGTCCTGCCAAACAAGGTAGCAGTTGGATGAAAAGTTGTCTTGATTGATTGCATCTTTGAAGAAAGGTACGGTATAGTATAATACTACAAAATACGACTATTTACTCAACCACTCCTTTGACCTACACACAAGAGGTTACTGTCGGCTCGTGGGCGCACGACTCGACATCTCGACATGACCTCCGATCGAGAAAATCCCAGTACAGCTTCTCAGCTTGTCATACCTCTGTGGTCGGTACCAAAATTATGTTATTCTTCTTCAAGTGAGGATCTTTATTACAAGTAGAAACTAAACAATCAGGAGTGCGTCAAACCACCAACCACTCATAGCTGTGCATGGAGGGAGGCTGATTCCAGTGTAAAGCTCCAGAAGAGCATTAGGCAGAATTAGGATGGTGAGGTGTGAAGAATTACTTGAAAATGTGGAAGGCCGTCCCAGATTCCACAAAAGTCCCAAATGGAATCAACCTACCAAAAAGTTATTTAGCTTCTGTACACAGGTTGTCATAGCTGTCGGTCAGTGATCGCAGTGGCCCTTGGCTTATTCATCAACTTTAAAAAAGCAGCCACTGACTCAGCTTTCCTTTGGATGCTGCACACATGCCGAAGCACAATGGTCAAAATGGTCACAATGATGGCAATGGTCTGGGAAAGTGAGATCCGCATATCAAATCGCATCAGGCCCATGACCGAGAGAACAAGGCAAAGATGAAAGCTGCAAAGTAGTAGCTGAGCTTCGTGACCTGAAAGGCGTGCAGTCTCATTCCCTGCAGGTAGAAGCCGGCTTCACTCTGAATCATGTACTGCACGATGTACTGACGTCCAAGATCCTGACTGCGGATGTTTCGTCCGTGGCAATTTTCTGCAAATTTTCATCTTTTAGATTCTGGTCAGACCTCTTTAAATGCTGGTTTAGGCAGGTCTAATCCCAATCTGGTCAGCAAACCCCACATCACACTAGGGTTGATGAAAGCAGCATAGAACCTAGAGTCTTAGAGCTACTAGAGATACACATCTGGTTGGGACTTTTTGCCATTTTTGCCACGACTCCATCCAGGACGGTACGTTGTCATCCTCGTCATGCTCAAAGTTCCAGGAGTTCACTAAGGGTGCGACCCTGCTGGCCTTCTCTGTCACACCGGCTGCTCGCATCATGGAGTATAGGAAAAGAAGCACAGGTGGAAACAGCCAAGAGGTGAAGCAAAGGAACGGCAACCCTGACTTCAAACCTGGCTGAGAATCATCATGCAGAACCGTCAATTGCACGAGCAACAGCAGTGAAGCCCCACACGAAGAGCCAAGCAGAAGCATCGTTGCGCTGAGTTTTGTTGAGACCTGTCTCAAGGTTGCTTGCACCATATTCCATTCTCCCAAGGCCACCTCAATGTCCATATCTGAGTAGAAATTGATGGAAAAACTGTCAATGGCATGCTCCAATCCTGCTACAATGTGCAGCTGGATGTACATGATGGCTGAGAATATGATCGCAGATACAGAAAAGCAGGCTGCGATTTCGGGTCTCTCCCGAGTCTGCAGGTCCCAGAGTCGATTCGACGCATCCGCAAGCCATCGACAGCAGAGCATGACCACTAAGAAGCCCATAACCTCCTTCAGTCGCCTTTGGGAGGTTCTTCGCCACTCCTCAAGGAAACCTGGCAGAAAAAAAACTGGACAGACTACGGATGTTTCGTCCGTGGCAATTTTCTGCAAATTTTCATCTTTTAGATTCTGGTCAGACCTCTTTAAATGCTGGTTTAGGCAGGCCTAATCCCAATCTGGTCAGCAAGCCCCACATCACACTAGGGTTGATGAAAGCAGCATAGAACCTAGAGTCTTAGAGCTACTAGAGATACACATCTGGTTGGGACTTTTTGCCATTTTTGCCACGGCTCACCTGATTTTTTCGCATAGTCCTCCAATCCATCTGCACGAACCAACAAGTCCTCGACACCTGACCAGCGTAAGCGCCATGCAGCAGCCAGGACGCCCACTAAGTAGCACAAAGTCGTTGCGGAGATGTACGGATCTGAGAGGCCCATGCTGGTGAGGCTCACCAATGCTCCAACCAGGACAAGTAACACCACTGACATACAGAACAGCGCACAACCGGGTCTCAAATCCGGAAAGTTCATAATCCCGACCACTGCCAGCCATAGTTTGGCACATCTGCAGAAAGAACTGGAAGAGGAGATGAGGCTTTCCCCGGTCAAAGCACCCCGGGTGTTGGTTTCGGTCCTTTGTGTCGTTGCTATGACCGCATCATGGTTCAATCTCAAATCGTCCAGAGACATGCGGCGGCACATCTGTAGCACCTTTTTGCCGCCTTCCGGAGGATAGCGAGAGAGACTGCTCCTCAGAATCTGTTGCGAACTTTTGTTGGGATCCAACTGTTCGTTGGAACCCAGCACCACTTCCGCTTCATTGTCGCTGTTTCGCGACTCCGAAGATAATGAAGCACTTTCCTCTGCTACAGGGTCCACAATGGATACTGAAGATGCAGCGCCTTGTTTCTGCGTAAAACTGCCAGAGATGTCTAGCTCTGGCTGGGAGCGTGCCAGCAGCGCAGTGTGCGTCTGAGCTTCGACCTCTTCCATGGTGAAAACATGCCGTTTTGGAAGTCCTCGCTGCCCAGAATGCAGCGTAAGACATTTGGGTTTGTCTTGCTCTGATTGAACCGATCTGACCGTGGAGGACTTCTTGTTGACTGTAACTGCGCCTGAACTCTTGTCTTCCGACATCCTTCGGGGAGTGCAAATCTCACCGGGAACAGGAATTACAGACAAGACAGGAGGTTCATCGCTCGGCGCAGCCAGGCCATCCATGTCTATAGCTGCTACCTCCGTCCTTTCAGAAGGCCCTTGAGGGACTGCAAAATCTCCAGCCTTGTGCGTTTTTCCTCTTCTATCTCTTGTGTCTATCGTCATGCAAGAACGCATTTCGGTAAGCACGCTGCTTTGAAAAGATAAACTGTTTTGGACTGCACATAGCCCTGTCTGAACTTCGTTCATCTGTTTTTGAAGATCGGCCAAACTCCCGAAAGTGTCCAAACCATTAAGTTTTTTCAATTGGGTTTGGATTTGGCGAAGCGGATCTTGCCCATCAGAAAAGACGTCTGCATCCATGGTACGCCAAGGGGGAATGCAAAGGTCGGCCAAAGACAGAGAATAGAGGGGGTCACATCTTGGGTTTGAGGCAGCGAATCATGTATCATTTCCAGCATGCCTTGCAACAAAATCGGCACAAAAATTTCCCGGTGCTGCAAAGTTGCAAAGTTCTGAATCATTCCTGACCATTACTCACCCTGCCACACACTTACATGATTTCTGTCTATTAGGAAAATTGTTCAGAGATAGGAAATTCAACAGCCATGCGTCCATAGGCCCACAAAGTACAAACGACTGAGTTTCTGGTGGGCAGTTGGTGATCTGAAAATAACAGTTTTCTGATTTGCGGGAAGTACAAATCCAACATAAGTTTTCTTCACACCTTACCTTGGTAACCCCTTCCGCCATGCATAATTGTATCATTGAACCATTTCCAGCCTCGGTTTGTCGGTGAATTCAGCCTCAAGGGCCAAAGACAATAGCTGAATGGCAGGTATTAACGGATTGTGCTGAGAGGTGTTGGTTTGCTTTTCACATCTATTGCATTTGCCGTAAGATTTGTTTGGTTTCTTTCTGGGCAAATGAGTTTTGCTGATCCATCTGACCCTCGTAGTCGTAGGCATAACAGTACCTAACAGCATTGTCTGGTCTACCCATGGCCAAAAGTGCATGGCGAACCGTTGTTAACAAATTGTGCCGTCAGGCTCAAGTCTGCAAAAAATGTTCTTGAAAGTAGCCATGAAAAGTGTTGGTAGCAAGCGTGTTTTGCACCAAGAGGTGGGCCCGCGCGTTTGAAATTATAGCAGAGGTGTTTAGTGTTCGACGACAGGTCACCCAGGCACTACTTCAAGCTGGCAAGCTGCACTTATAACTTTCATTCTATATAAAATCCTTCACGTTGGACGCCGTGATCTTACGACCGGTTTTGAACTTGGAAAACACAACGAATGGGATATGCAACTCGCACACCCCGACTTTGTTCCGCTAGGAACAAAGTCGCCGAAACTATGACACGCCATCGGGCACTGAAGCTTCCCGCACGACAGCGATACATCCTAGACTCAAGCCCTCTCTCATATGTTCTTTTTCCGGTCTCTTTCCCAAAACTGTCACCTTCCTCGGCGTCTTCCTTTTCTTCACTTTCCATCTTCCGCAGGTCTCGCACACCAGTGGCAAGGCTGATCTGGGATTTTGGGTAACTGCGCATCTCTTCGCAGAGAGCACCACTAGTGTCTGAGGACCATTCAGTCCAGCTCCACATATCTTGTCCTCTGGGATGTCATTCTCCAGCTTGAGGAAGGCTCGCAAACCGGTGTGGCTTACCACTGGAGAATTTCTCAAGCCATAGCAATCTTTTCGGAAATAATACTTCTTTCCAAGACAAGTGTGAAGTACAAATCCGTTGGTGGTGGGGCGACGCTGGATGATGATCCAGCAGTCTGCTGGAACTCAGTGACACTGGAAGACGCAGCTTCTGACTTTGGCAGAGCTGCAGATGAAGCGGCTTTGGACTGTGACATCTCTGGTTTTGACTTTGATTCTGTCTCTTTGGTCTTTTTCTCTTCAATCTTCTTTCCTTTCGCTTTTGAACCTTCTTCTTTCTTTGGTAGCGGAACATGTGGTAGTGGAACGTTCTCCTCCATCACCGGCCCCGCTTTGAAAGCTCTATCCCTGGACTCATCTCTTTCAGACGTCTCCTCACTTTCTCTCTTTGGTGGCCGATCACTTTGCCCACGGAGTTCGTCCCGAGATTGGCCTCCCGTGCTCCCTTCCGGGCGTGTTCCCAATCCCAAAACCGTCTCACCCTTCGAAAATCGGTAGATCGCAGGATTGCCATCTACCAGGTGTCGTAGCACTCCGTGAGGAGAGCTCGCCGCGGGACCTCACCACAAAGGGGGAGTTTGCCGCAAGATAGCTCTGATCCCACAGCCATCTTGCCCCTGGGCAGGCGTCACTGCCAGCAGAGTTGAGCAGTGATCAGAGCCACCACCAAGATGTAAATCATCATCATGTCAAAAAGGATTGCTGATCCTCCCTCCTCCCTCCTCCCTCCTCCCTCCTCCCCCTCCCTCCTCCCTCCTCCCTCCTCCCTCCTCCCTCCTCCCTCCTCCTCCTCATCTTGAGCCCTGGCCCTGCTCAAAATGCCCATGATCATCGCAACTTGACCATGTCCTTTAGTGATTTCACTCCACCTGTTTCTTCCTTCCTTTCTTCTCTGGCAAGCCCTCATGTTCTTCTGCAGAAGGCCCAGAGTGTATAGGAGTGCTGAGCTACATATACCGCACTCCAGAATGATTTCCCAGGTTTGCTGATAACCCACCTTTTCGGCAGTGGAAATCTCCCATTTGGACTGGATGCGGCTGACCCAAGCTTCTGCAACCTCTTCAGGGGCTGGGACTGGGACAAGGACGTCGTCAACATACATCAGCAGGAGTCCTTGAAGTTTGCTAGTTTCTTCGTGGGGTATGGCCCAAGTGCTTGGCTCGGACTCCAGTTGGTGCAACCTCATCCCTTTGATCTTCATCTTTTCCAACTCTTCGTCTCGATAATCTTTCCAGAGTTTTGGTGAACACCGAAAACCATAGATGGCCTTCAAAACTTCCCGTAGCTGGTGGTGGGGAGAGAAATAGCCAAATTTGACTAGGGTGGCGGAGGTCGGAGCAGCATTGGTAGCGGAGCTTCATCCTCCACCTCAGAAGACTACTCTTCACCGCCCTTTTCATGTTTCCGTGGGGCATTTAGAAATTCCGTGCGGATATCAACATTGATTCCACACCATCCTCGCGCCACCGCAAGGGCAAGTGCTAATCTCAACGCAGCAACGTCCGCACCTGCTGCAAAGCAACTTTCATCTTCATTGGCGGCTTCATAGTTGCCGCATGCCACGAGTCGGCATTTGCGTTTGCCCTGAGGGTTCGCCAGATCTGGCTTGACCATGAGTGAAGATTGTCTTCGAGGGCAATGGTACTGCTCCTTTCTCCTTGACATACCTGTCACTGTCTTCTTTTGTCAGCAGCTTCAGGGCTCCTTTCTCAGCGAAGAGCGATGCGATCTTGTTGAAAATGGCCTTGTGCCAGAGATCCTTCTTCTTCTTGACCATCTCCGCCGTGCCCACAATCTTCGTTTGGAGCACTTCAAATTGCCTTCCGTGCCCCTGAGAACTGCCTGTACCACCTCCTCATCATCATGGAAGGCATGCTCTGCCTCCTCTTGAATCACCTTCTCTCTTCGCGCCTTCTCATGCAATGCCGGCTCTCCTTTTCTTTGTCCTCCTGTACCTTTCTTATCATGTCTTTCCCTCTAATTCGCCTTCGAAGGTCCAGGGGTGATAGCATCTTCCAGAGCCAGCCACACATCCTCTGCGATTGGCTCCACGGTGTTGGCGATGACTGCTCGTGTAAGAGCATGTGTGTTGTCTGGGCGCATCACTCAGTGTCCACGAAGGGGTGAGGTAGTGAACTTCCTTGTTGTTCGGCCCCGTGCACGTCTTTTGCGCGCCAGTATCTTCTCCGTACCAGCACCTTAGACATGAATCCTCTAACCCTAGGCTTCATTCAAGTATCTCACCGGAACGGGCCTGCGCTGCTCGCAGGATTTTCTTTTTTTTTGTTTTCTTGCCTTGGCCTGCACAGCCCTCTCGGCTCGGCCATGTGATTAGGGCGCCACTCCTGCTGTTGTAGGGCGTACGCACCTCTCCCGAAACCATTTTGTAATGCGTGCTCCAGTGAACTCACTTCCAAGATCACCACAATGCAGTTGGCTGACATGCATCCCTTCACCTCAAAGAGAGAGGTACGTATCAATCAAGGTATTCAGAATGGTGATGCCCTTCTTGTCTGAAAGTAAATCAACGCTTTCTTCTTCTGGCAAGTCTCCTGCTGGAGGGTCTTCACCCGGCTCTGTAGGCTCATTGTCAATCTCGGGCGCCACCCGGGCCTTGTAATCCACCTCCTCATGGCTCCCTTCTTTGGGACTTTTCTGACCTTCTTCATCATCAACCTGAGAGGAGGGGACGAAAGCCAGGGACCAGTTGGAAGGGAGACAGGAGAGTGGAGAGCATGGCAGGGATTGCGGTTGGGGGTTGGTTGAGGCATCGCTTGGGTGCGCCCATGGGGTGTCTTTGGAGAGAAGGAAAGAATGTGTAGGAAGAAGGAGCGAAGGAAAGAAGTGTTGTAATGGTAGGGAGAGTGTGAAGAGCATGTTTGAGGAAGTGAAAGGAGCCCGGAAGGGGAGAGGAGGTGTCGGTGGCAAGGGAGGCAAGGAGGAATGGGTTACAGGCGGCTGTGGAGAAGGAATCTCTGTGGGGTGCCTGGAAAATGTGGAAAATGTGGGATGCAGGGAGCTGGTGGGAGGAGGCTGCGAAGGAGTTCGCCATGGTGACAAGGACGATGTTAGATGGTGAACAATTTGGATGGGGAGCGGTGTCGGGTTGAAAGGAGGTTCATGGGCTGGCTTTCGTAAAATGAATGGTGGCTAGCAATTGTCCACTTTTTCCCCACATCCTCTGCTCTGACTTCATTCCGAACGTTTCTCTTGATTCGTTATAAGATCAAAACTCAACCCGAACAGACTGTTACAAGGACATGCTTACGAGTGGACAGTTGCGCAAGTTGAGGATGATTCGAATCGCCATCCAATCGCGATCCAATCGCGCTCCAACCGCCCCAGGAGTACCACTCCTACTCGCATAGTTGCCTCAAATTGTCCACTTTTTCCCCAAATCCTCTGCTCTGACTTCATTCCGAACGAGCAACCTCACCTTGCCTGGCCTGCAGCAATCATTCCAACCACATGCACCCCTGGCCACGCACCTCCCTCACCCCACCCCGAGGCATCAGCAGCCATCTGCAACCTCACCCTGCGGGCTCCTTTGCTTCCCAGTAGGCACCTAAAAGAGCCTCACCCCAAAAGGCCCGCCCAAGCCACGCTCTTTCTTCCCCCCAACCTTCTCGCCCCATCACACACCTCGCCCCGGAACTCCAATCCGTACGATTTATTTTATCCTTCCATTCCCTCCGTTTTTCCATTGTTTTTCTATGG